GTCCGAGGCGACTTCAACGGTGGCGGCGAAGGATGAGTACGGATGCAGATCAGTGCGGCGTCGCGGGAAAGAAAACGGGGCGTGGACGAGGGGATCGGCTGCTCCGAGCCTCCGATCTGGAAAGGAGAATCTCAATCCCTATTTCTTTGGGAGGAAGTAAATGCCATTAATTGGGGACCAAAAATCATGGCAAGTGCGGGAGGAGGGAAGGACGACGTACGGGCGGGGGAGGGACGGACGAAGTGGAGGACGTAAGAGGGGAGACGGATCCTTATGTTTGTTTTAGGTAGTAGAGAAAACATGTGCATTTGACAAGTACATAACTGAGCATGTCGTCTTATGTCATTTCCAGCCTGTCAGCAATGAGAAAGAATGTTCTGGCCAAGTGCTATGGTGGTGATATCACCCGCAAAAAGAAGTTGCTAGAGAAGCAGAAGGAAGGGAAGAAGCGCATGAAACGTGTCGGGTCCGTCGATATCCCCCAAGAAGCGTTCCATGAGCTACTAAAGGTCTCCAGTTCAAAGTAGACGAGCTGTACTTTAGTGTGGTAGCCTCGTGTAGTCATCTTCCTTCCTGAAAGGTGAGTTTTGGTCACACGATCTTTGCACATTGTATATCTCCAGCTTCCATAGTAGCCTTATGCCTTTTCTGTTGCACTGCAGTCCTTCATCCCTTGTTCAAAGTACATACTGACGTTTTGTGCCGAGCAGCGTAGCACCACTGCTGTTGTTGCTACTGGGCCGAAGGGTTAAACCGCCGGTTCAAAGGGGTTTATTTCACGCCGAGATGCTCCGTCCTGCGGTGCCGGTGCTGCGAACCTTGGTCTTCCAGGATGCTTTGGTGGTGCTACAACATGGACTCGCACCCGGGGTGTGAGAAGAAGAAAAAACCACGTACCGCCACACCCTGTTATGCTAGTTCTTGCTGGAAAGTGGACAGCATACGGCGAGGCTTGCTTGTTTCGTACTTCCATAGTTGGCATGATCATATGCACAGAATGTTGTGCCTCACTGCACTATTTTTTTTGGCGGAAAAGTGCCGAAAAACCCTACAAGTAGAGTTATACTTGGTTTTGTTTTGGAGAAGTTTTTTCATTGTTCTCCGTTGTATTCTTCTGAAAGAACGTACACTCTGGAATAAGTGAAACTGCCCCAAGGTTCTGTATCTGCATTCTTTTCCTATCTACTTTTCACTATAGATCACATACGGATGTATATAGACAAACTTTAGAGTGTAGATTCACTCATTTTGCTCCGTATGTAGTCCATAGTGGAATCTCTACAAAGACTTATATTTAGAAACAGAGGGAGTATTGGACAATTAATTTGATTTTCTTGAGATGACAGTGGTGCATCACCGAGAGAAGTGTGAAATAGAAGCAGATATTGCTGGCGATCGCTGAAACTGGTTCGCCATTTTCTTTTTGATTTAGTCGTGGTTGCAACATTTTATTGTTTGCATTTGAAAGGCAAATTTATTTACTAAAGAACTTCAAAGGGTCGTGCTACGAGTTATCCCGCTGATAACTCCGCCTCCCCGACTGTCAGATCAGCCATGGCTCTGAAACAGCAACAATGTTGCAACCGGCGAGCCTTTCAGTCGTGTGATTTGAAGCTTTTCCGAATTTAAAACCAAACCTTTTTCTGCTTATTATTGGAAAAATTGTTGAAGAAATACAAAAACAAAAAAAATGTGAATCTGCACCAGCCGGGAATCGAACCCGGGTCTGTACCGTGGCAGGGTACTATTCTACCACTAGACCACTGGTGCTACTATGTCCGAGTTGAGGTTTGAAATTATAAGACAGTGGCAAACACGTTTCCCTTGACCTTGAGTGCAATCGTGTCCACTACCGGCGCAGGTGGAGGCGAGTCAACCGGAAAAGTGCACGCCACTCACTCCACCCCCACCCCCCCTCCCCTCCATCCCTCCCGCAGGGCGGCCATGGCGATCTCGCCCCTCCGCTCCCTCCCCCTCCCCCTCCTCCTCCTCCTCGTCCTCCTCCGCGCTTTCGCCTCCCTCCCCACGCAAGCCGCCGCGAGAGGCGGCCTCGGCCCGCCGCCAGGTTCCGTCCCCTCCCTCCCTCCCCGTCCTTGTTACTTTTTGCGGCGTCTGTCTGTGCAATGACGCCGTGCCAGACCTCGATCCATCTCGGACGGGTAGGTAGCTGGATAGCCTGGCGGGACGCGGATCCGTCAGTTCGCTTGATTTGGGCGGATTTGGTAGGGTCCGCTGCTGTTATATTCAGGAGCTATCCAGTGCGGCCGTGCCTGGGGCTCATTTCGTTTCGGTACAACCTGTACGGATTGGAAATATCGTTAGTTGTGAGGAGTAGGAGCACCTTGGATGCATGATGAGTGCCTTATGTTATGGACTGGCTGATGATTGCGTAGTTATGATGTGAAGCCCACACCATCCACTTAGCTAATAAAATGCATCAGTCGCTGTCATAAATTGGCACATCTCAAGCTAGATTCCTAAAATATTACTGTACCAATTATATCTTCTCCCTGTCTCCAAGCTTGTTTCACCAGTCAGCATTGATCACACTCGGCGAGTTTGCCCACATGGTTTTATTTAGCATCTTCATAAACTTCCGCCTGCGGTTCTCAGCATACGGGCAGCTGTTTCTTACCCAAGTAATAATCTGTTGTTGTCAACCAGGAATCGCCGTTGATAAACATGGGGCATTTTCGCGTGGTCTTCTTCAGGATCAGCCTGAGATCACGTATGTTTTTTAATCGGAGCTTTTACTTGCTATTCATGTTTTTATTGCACAAAAATATTTGCTGTAACATGTACGCAATGCCTTTTCCATCAACTTTAGGGAAGAAATGGTTCGCGGATATATGAGCAACGCTGAACTTGAGGGCGCTATACAAGACTTTGGGAGGCGCTGTGCTAATGTTTCCAGGATATACAGGTATATGATGTATAAGACCTTGCTCCCTGTCGATGAGTAGTATGCTCAGAGTTTCTCGACCATTTTTTGGGGTCCTCAGTTTGTTTAGCAGTGTCATATAAGTAAATGGAAGGGCAAATACCGAAAGGTAGTCTTTTTGCATGTTAAATTCGAAACATAAGTCCATTCATAAAAGGCGTGTCTATGTATATGTGAAATTCTGGATTGCAGTCCCTAGTTACCTGGCTTTTGAGCAGCAAGCTTCAAAAGTACTATGTATGTGTAACTTAATCTTCTGGTTGCGATAATCAGTTTAATGCGTAGGACTGTAATTTCTCCAGTCTGATAGATCTCCAGTATGCTCATATATGATATATCCAAACTTCACTTACCTATTCTTTCTTCTCTCTTTGAGGGATTACACAAACCTGTTATCAGCATCGGGAAGAGTGTAAATGGTTCCCCATTGGTATGTAACTTACTGATGATAGCTTTAATGCTTTATTCTTTATCAAAATTGTATACTGGATAACTTATCTGATTGCTCTTGTAGTGGGCCATTGAAATATCAGACAAGCCTGGGCTAAAAGAAGCTGAACCAGCATTCAAGGTTTGTGGCCTCTTTATCCTGAAGAAGTGGGTCGTTCTTATAAAATTCTGAAAGGAAGTGTTTTATAAGTTGAGCCACCTGTTGACCATCTTGCTTTATCATTCCTTTTATCTCCGGTGCTCTAAAAGAACAGCTGTGCCTCAACGGCAATGTGAGTCTTTTCTTTCATATTTAGAATGACTTCCTTGACAATATAGCTATTATGTTCCTCTTCTTCTTTGTGAGTTTTCATGGGGTTACCCCCTTCTCCCATGTCGACGAGAGTTAACGAAGCTATAATGGAATCACATCCAAAATCCAAGCACATGATTTTCCTGTAGAAACTAGCTTACAAGGCTATGTTGGCAATAATTCAGCTAACTTGCTTGAACTCTTTTATTTCAGTTCTTATAGTAGTATAATATAAGTAAGAGCTATCTATGTTGCCATTCTCCTATTTCATTGTTAATGGCACCAAGACTGTAATTTTGATTTTTGATGTAGCCTTTGTTTTGAAAATTTCCAGTTCATTGGGAATGTCCATGGCGATGAGCCTGTTGGAAGAGAGGTCCTTATGCAACTTGCGTATTGGCTGTGTGATAACTACCTGAAGGATCCTTTGGTACGCAAGGTTCCCTTGTCGCTATATGCTCTTTGCTCAGTCGTGGAGCTTTTGACTGGCCAACCACTTACAGTTTGGTTATGTGATGAACGATCTATAGTATTTTGAGCTTTGCTACATGACATGAAAACGAAACATAGCATCTAACCTGAGTACCAAGCAATTAATTTATGGAACAAAATTTAGATTCTGAAACAGGCTGCGAATTATGTTGCTGTAGTTGCATTGCTATGGATCATCCGATCATGTAATGTGCAACATATTTTTCAACATTGGAGATAATGTGCTCACTTTTTATCTGAACAAAGCTGTTATGAGAAGTTGCTCCAAAATATTTCCACCAGTTTTATGGAAATTGATACTAATATGCTATGCTCAAAACTTAGCTGTTAAATTGATTTTGTAGGCAACTCTCATTGTGGAGAACACACACCTTCATATACTTCCATCAATGAATCCAGATGGATTTGCTCTTAGAAGGCGTGGTAATGCAAACAATGTTGATCTCAACAGGGACTTTCCTGACCAAGTACATACTCGATGCATTAATTTTCCTTATGGAAGATTCTATAACCCCCTTTGCACTTTACCTTTTTCTTGGAGCTGTTCAATTTATATTGTCATTTTTTTACTGGCAGTTTTTCCCCAACAACGATGATATTAAGCAACGGCAACCTGAAACTAGAGCTATTATGAACTGGATAAAGCAAGAACACTTCACAGCCTCTGCTAGTTTGCATGGGGTAATTATTCTTCCCTTGACGCTGTTTGTGAAATTATTTGATTAGTTAAATGTTGTCAACCGCCCAGTTTCTGTGGTCAAGGCTACTTCGTCAAGTAGTGAGCCACGTCTCGGTTCTATTTGTGGGTTGCTGCCTGTCATGTTCTGCTCATGGGAATGCCCCAAATTTCACGTGCCCAAAAAAGTCATATCCAGAACAAACCAATTTTGTGTTATGTCTTTTTTATTCTCAGCCTGCTATATGGAGTGGTTGTGGTCACTTGTTAACTTTGCTTCTAATCACTTCATGCTCAATTTATCAGGTCTCCCACAGAAAATGCATAGGCAAATCATATTTGCGCTGCAATTGGTGGGTTGGATGTTGTTATATTCAGTCTTATTTCTTTTCAATCTGCTATATGGTGAATTATACTATTAATTTCTAAAAGTGGATGTTTTGGAACGGGTCAGACCCTGTAATTCTGGAACTATATTTTTAACCTAGTGGTTCCTCTGGGCACCTCTGGGGCACTTCCATTTGATCTTTAAGTGCGAACATAATTGGTTGAAGGAAGAAAAGTAACAACAATAGCAGATGGTAGAAGATTTTTTCAGTTTTTAATACTAGAAAGGTATGTAAGAATAAGATCAGGATGTATGTAAAAGAAAATGGCCATTGTATACCACTCTACCATCCATCCATTTTCAGGATTAATTGTTGAAGGTCCAATACTAGGAATTCACTATTTTTTTTCCATTTTCAGATGATCCTTCTTGGTTTCATGGACATTATTCTGATATATAGTTCTTAAGTCATTACCAATTAGCTCCTGATTGACTGATTATCATCATTGCCACCTGATTTGAGTTTTGCAGGGTGCTCTTGTTGCAAATTATCCATGGGATGGATCTAGAGATACAAGGTAGCCAGTTTCCTAATTTACATTCAGTTTCAGGATCCCCTGCTAGTACTTTTGTGTGTCCTGTTTTTCTACATCTTATTAAGACCCAGCAATAAGATTTTAACCAAGGATTGTCCACACAAATGTGTCGGTATATTTCCTGAATGATGTACATTCATATCTTTTGTGTGCCTCGTTGAGTCCTTGCTAATGTTGGTACTTGAATTTTGATGTTTGCAAGTGGTTTTTTCAGAGGTTGGATTGCATGTGGCCACCCATGCTTGTTAAACAGCAACATTCTCTTGATGCCCCATAAATTTGTTAGATGTATTTTTTCTTATTTATAGGACCATCAAGATAGATAAGCAGCACACAACTAAAGTTTTATGAGCAGCTGATCAACAGTCGTGCACATAATGGTCTGTTCTAGTGGCGCTGTCGGAACCCTTGGAATTTAATGTCATACGATGTTATCTTGTAATCCAATTTTTCATTCACCTAGTCTTTAGGACCACAAACTTGCTTAGTTTCAGACTTAAGCATTCTCACATAGATTATCTTGCTTACAGAAAACAGTATTATGGATGTCCTGATGACAAGGCATTCCGTTACATGGCGTCAATGTACAGTCAGTCACACTATAACATGTCTTTGAGCAAGGAATTCGAAGGAGGCATTACAAATGGAGCACTGTGGTAAAGATACAAACCAATAGTATCTTTTTGCTACTCTATATTGAATTTTCGATGTATTAACATTCCACTGAGTGTTGCTACTTTTCAAGATCGAACATAGCAATTTATGATTTGTGATGAAGGTATCCAATTTATGGCGGCATGCAAGACTGGAACTATATACATGGAGGCTGCTTTGAGTTAACACTTGAAATTAGTGATGTAAAATGGCCAAAAGCATCCGAGGTACTTCTGCATCTTGTTATGCTTCTGCTGCTGTTGTTGTAAACCACTTGGTGATATTCTGTGTAACCTTCTGCTACAGCTTCTTGTCATATGGAAGCAAAATAAGATGAGCATGCTCAACCTTGTTGCAAGCCTTGTAAAGGTAAGATATTCCTACTGTTCGATTCCTATGGTTATGCACCTGAAAGAATTAACAACCTTGACCTATTTGAAGTGAACTGGTGTCGGTTAGTATATGGGTTGAGGCACAGGGTTCTTCAATCGTTATGTTTGTACCAGGGTATGGGTTGAGGCACTGTGTCACCATTTCATTCTCTGTCCCTTCTGAAATAGTACCTTCCGGTGTTATCGACGTTGTTCCTTTGGGTTTTGCTCCTTGTTGTTCATTTTCTTTAAGACATAACAATGTTTATCACTGTGTGCACTATATTAACTCTTTTTTCAGACAGGAGTTCATGGAAGGATATTTGCTGCAGATACTGGCCGTCCTATACCGGGATCACTCATGGTGAAGGGAATCGATTCAAAGGTGAGATTATTCGGCAACCTTAACCTATATCCAGTGAGGTATATCGTATATGTAAGCGTTTTCTGGATCCTGAATGCAGTTTGATTATTTTGGGGTCTTATGGATGAACTGGCAAATTCATGCTAGAGATTTCTGGGTTTATCATTTGAGAGATCCTAATACTTGCCCCATGCATGCTTGATCATAGATAAATGCTAGCGGAACTTTTGGCGATTACCACCGGATTCTTGCACCTGGTCAGAGTTATGAAGGTAGGATTTTAACGTTCCTCACTTGGCCTAGATTCCTTTTTAAAAGAAAAGAAAATTTCAGTAGAAAATCTTGGATCGATAGGGCTAATCCATTGCTAACACCACCAATGGGGCTCTCTTTCTTTAATTCACTGTCAGTCGTTGCGTCGATGGAGGGCTTCAAACCGAAAAGAACACGTGTCATGCTGGGGCGTGAAGCCACGAATCTGGACTTCATCTTGGACCCAGACGGAGCCCTCAGGGGGACCAAGCCGCTGCGCAACGACTGCGGCTGCAGTTGCAACGACGACGGTGGCAGCAACAAGCCGTTCCTCCTCCGGGAAGCTTACCTCTGGCTGTATCTCCTGGTCCTGTTCTTCCTGCTGGCCCTCTACCTTCTCTTGAGGAGGAGAATGGCCTCGAGGCTCGCGGCGCATCGGCATTCTCCTCCGAAGCGGACTGTTGCCGTGTGAGATGGACCTGTACGTGCTGGTACATGTTTCATGTTTGTAGCGTAACCACAGCCTTTACAAAGTGTTGTTCACACGTGGGATTAGATCGTGGCCATGATGTGCCATGGAAGTTTTGAATAGTTTTAGTTGGAGATATATATGTTTGAGTTAACCGGATACATATATACAGAGATAAAGGACGACGTACAGTGGATCTCATGCTAATAACGTGGTAGTTGTTGCTCTGTTAATTCGCAAGCTAGTGAAATTGTTTTGCGGTGCTCTTTTTCGCTACTTCCTTTGTAAAGAAATATAAGAGCGTTTATATTAGATCACTAAAGTGTTATGTGGTGTTCTTTTTGCTGCTCCCTCGGTAAGAAATATAAGAGCGTTTATAGATTACTAAAGCCTTATACTCCCTCCGTCTCATAATATAAGAATGTTTTTGACACTAGTGTAGTGTCAAAAATGTTTTTATATTATGGAACGGAGCGAGCACTTCTTAAGAAAGGGAGTATGTTATATTCAATTCAATACAATTACTTCCGAGTAGTATAACCAATGGAATCAACCATCAGCCTAAAGCAGCATCATGACCGGTGCATGAACTGCCACTACTGGAATCAAAAGATTTGCCATCTGCTAGCGGATGACAAGAAATATTTTTGCCATCAGCCACGAGAAAGCAGACTGCAAAGTAATGCTTTGCCATCAGCCATTATTTTGCCGCGGACGGCGAAGCTTCTTTGTCGTCCGCTAGCCGACGACAAAGAGGGTGTTTGCCCCATTGGCTAGTAAGCCCTAAAGGGCTCTCTCTTTGTCGTCCACCAGCAGACGGCAAAGAGTCCGTTGCCATCAGTTTGCAGACGGCGAAGGCGACACGGACGACAACGCTTCAAAATAAGATAATGGCCCGCGCCCCGCCGTCGCCCTCTCTCTTTCTCCTCTCCTCTCCTCTCCGCCCGACC